GATAGATAGATAGATAGATAGATAGATAGATAGATAGATAGATAGATGATAGATAGATAGATAGATAGATAGATAGATAGATAGATAGATAGATAGATAGATAGACAGATAGACACAGAGAGGGAGGGAGAGAGATTAATTACAATCCATTTTGAATGCATAGCAGAAAAAACAGCCTTGAGAATTTACTAGCCACCTAAGCCGACTCAGAGTTTACAAAACATTTCGGGAGATACTTGCAACAGGTGCTCCCCAAAGGAAAAAGGATTTTTATCCAAGGAAGATTTTAAAGGAAGATTTTTTTTTTAGGGGAGAAGGTCAACTGTCCCGATTTTTCACGGCTCGTCCCCCTCCCCATCTCCTGAGCTGGCCGTTTTGAACCATGGGAAAAGGAGAGAAATGGTCTTTACTATGGCCAGACTGGCTGGGTGGGGCTGGTTTCTTGGAGCCCACATTTGGGATGGCGATTCCGTCTTTCTCCTTGGCGCTGCTCTCCTGGCCCACTTCTAGGACCTGAACCTGGGGCAAGGCCGCGTTCCACTTCACGATGTACTTGGGCCCCAGAGGGACCAGACTGCTGATCTCAAGCTGCCCCCTGCGAGAAAGAAAACCCAGATTTTTGTTGTTTTTTTTAAAGAGAGAGAGAGAGAGAGAGAGAGAGGATGGGTACACTCTGCCTCCGGGCTCACAACAGCCCAGGAAAATCTGCAAGACACACTTTAAGGAACCTCAAAGCAGCGAGCAGATTTTGCAAGGAAATATTAATTCTTGAACTGAGCCGTTAAGACACCAGAAAAAAGACAAAGGGAAGCAAAATATAACCCTCCAGTTCCACTGTTTGTTTTTTTTCCTTCACAAACTTTTTTAAGTGGCGGTGAAGCTTTCTTCCTTACATACCACTATGGTGATGTGGGGACATAAAACGCCCCCACTCCCAACACCCAGTTCTGCACCGTGTGGGTGCTCATTTGCCAAGGAAGAAAACCAGGACGCCCTCAACGTACAACCGCAATCGCTGCCAGAATTTCCATGGCTAAGGTCAGTATAAGGTGGATAAAGGAGTTGCTTCAGTCAACTCGAGGTCGACTCAGCCTTCCGTCCTTCCGAGGTGGGTCAAATGAGGAGCCAGATTGTTGGGGGCAAGAGGCTGACTCTGCAAAACCGCTTAGAGAGGGCTGGAAAAGCACTGTGAAGCGATATAGAAATCTAAGGGCTATTGCTATTAAGAGCCGTGGGGGCGCAGTGGTTAGAATGCAGCATTGCAGGTTAATTCTGCCCACTGCCAGCAGTTTGATCCTGACTGGCTCAAGGTTGACTCAGCCTTCCATCCTTCTGAAGTGAGGACCCAGATTGTTGGGGGCAAAAGGCAAACTGCTCAGACAGGGCTGTAAAGCACTGTGAAGCAGTATATAAGTCTCAGTGCTGTTGCTACCTTCCTTCCTTCCTTCCTTCCTTCCTTCCTTCTTTCCCTCTTTCTT